CATTGAGTGCACAACAATGTAATAAATAAACACCAGTAAATATACACTTATCGATTTCTAGTAAATTTATTACGTAACTATATTTAAAATCTATATATTTTTTTCAATTTAAAACGTCTACCAACCGACGGTTTTAACAGATTTTATGAAACTACATTTGAAAATATTGTCAAAAATGATATCCAAGACCAATATAGTTTTGTTCTTGACTTGCACTGAACCTAGTAAAGAAGAGAGAGGTCGTTCAAGAAAGAATCAGGAACATTTCCAGTGACACGTTCTGTTATATGGCGCCATTCTTATTATCAAATTAGAAATAGCACATGTTATTAACAGAGTCTAGTTAAATTTTAGACGTAGTTTAAGTGTTCGTAAATGCTATTCAAAATAAGTCGTTGCTGTTAAGATCTCGCTGTTCGGTACACCACTCGCTTGGGTAAACAAGCGTATCTCGGGACGTCTCCACGAAAACGCGCAGCTGTTCGCTAGCACACATTGTGGTAAGAATATTATACATATTCAGAAGATAAACTTTCGTCTTTCGATAATTTCCGAAAATTACAATTATATAAATTTACACTAACTGTTTCCGTGACTTCGCCTGCTTGATTTATAGCCTGTGTCGCCCGCGTATGATGTAGCTAGCAGGTGAAATAATTTTGATTAGTGTTTCCGAAGATTCCCCTAAAATCTCTACAAAGTTAGAAATTTGCCTCTTTAATTTATATTTGAAAAAAACTTTGAAATATTCAAATTTTCATTTTTAAAAGTTTTTGAATATCCAATAGTTTTGAATATCCAATCCAATAGATATTAGACAAGAAGTTAAATGTATTTATGTACAATGTAAAAGTTGTTTTGCGTTTCTTTTTTGAATTTTAAAAATTTTTAAATTTGCGTATCTTTCACCGTTTGCTCAGCGCATGCAAGGAAAGCTCTCAAAAAGTAAAATATTCCCCCGTTTTTGCAACATCTTTAATTGCTGCTCCTCTTCGATTAATCATAGCGTGATGTTATTGTATAGCCCATAGCTTTTCTCGATGAATGGACTATTCAACAAAAAAAAATTTCATTTCGAAACAGTAGTTCCTAATATTATAGAGTTCAAACAAACTCTTCAGCTTTATTATTAGTATAGAAATAAAGAACCGGACAAACGCGTGTCGGATTCACGCACAAAGACTTCCAAACAATCTATAAAAAACTTGACGTAATCATACCACTAAACGTTTATTCTGTTCTGATTTTTGTACTTGTTGTTAAAGCAGAAACCACACGTCAACAGAAATACACAATCTGTGAAAATGTGTTTCCATCTACAGTTTAGCTACCATAGATCATGAGATACGTCCTGGTGACAAACGGATAGACAGCGTATACTCGGTAATTTAGAAAACAGAAAATAACTGATCCTTTTATTTGGGCGTATTATCAGACAATGATAATATTATGATGAACAATAATAACTTTATGACAATTACCAATTCAACATACACCGCAGAGTTGATAAAGTTTACATAATTAATTCAGACTGCAGCTCAAAACTTCCATGATAGTTGTCTGTCGCTTAACTATTGTGCTAACTCTGAGGTTATCGTGAGGAATAATTAGTTTGTGTCCCAATATCCTTTGAACGTTTCAATCTTCTAAACTGGACTTAAAAAAGCTCGGTGTGAATATGAAAAAGTGTTAACAGCTTTTCGACAGAAGTGACCTCATTACTTGCCCACTGTTTAGACGGCATTAGTAAACAATTTTCGAACACGGAATTTAACGATTGGTTAAAATTAAAAATAATTTAAATAAAAACATAAAATAGAACTGATTTCAAACTTTAAAAAAGATTTGATTTAATGAAGATTTGATTTCGCTTTTGATAAGTATTTATTACTTATCTCAAAAGCGAATTATTCAAGAAAATGCAATTGAAGACGAGTGGAGCTATTCTGGACCTTTAAATTCGAAAGACACACGGATTTTAATTTTAAAGGTTACCCTAAACTGAAATAGCGTGATGGCAAACTTAAATTGTTTTTCGATATCGGGACGAAGTCTATATTTACTTGCGAAATGAGGACCTACTACGGAAATGTTTATCAATATTAATGGCGGTGCTCTTCTTAATTTAAAATTCAGATTTAAAATTTAAAAGAGATCCACATAATTATTATTTCTGTGGTAAAGAGTAAAAGATGATATTGATAGAAAAAATGTGAATGTTCAGATGACGGCTGATCGAGAAACATATAAAAAAGGAAATCATATTATTGCACTGAACCAAGCAAATGCAGACCAGTAATAAGTATATGTATGATATGTTAAATATATTTTTTTCTTTGTGATTCCAAACGCTTTCTTTTCTTACGGTACGGCACAACAATCACCGAAGAAAAACCTATACATAGTATAATACAAAGTCGCTTCCCGCTGTCTGTACGCTGAGATCTTTTAAACTATGTACGTAACGGATTTTATAACGGTTTTCATCAATATAAAGAATGATTCAAGAGGAAGATATGTACAACGTAGTATACTACGCGGGCGAAGCCGCTAGCGGAAAGCGATTTAAAAAGGTTTTTATAATTCTTGCCAGAATGGCTTTGAATTAAAAACATAAATAAATATACATACAATGCTCAAATTCCAATATGAGTAGCTAAAATCCTCGTATTATGGAGTAGAGAGAGAGAGAACCACAACACCCAGACCTGAGACAATATAGAAAAAATAATTTTCTACGTTGACCCGACCGGGAATCGAACCCTGGACCTCAGAGATGGCAATACCTTGAAACTGGCGTGCGAACCACTCGGCTACAGAGGACGGTAATAACGTCAGGCTCTTAATTTGCACAAAAAGTTTTACATAATAGCTACGTTAAGAAACAAAGGCAGTTACTTAGTATGATTAAAATACTAACACTCCGCCCACTCGCTAACTCGTGGAGGCTCTATTCGGTAGGTACACTTGTCTCATGGGCAGAACCCCATGCTAAGCTGGAGCGACTTTCTCCTAATAGTATTAGTCGAAACTATGACCGGTCTAAACTAGCACAAGATAAGACGACAGCCACCAACTAAACCCTCCTCTGGCAAGTAACAAGCCTTTGATAAATTAAGTCGAACCTCATCCCACGTCCACAGTGGAAAGGAATATAGAAGGTCAATTCAGAATGTGCATAAACTAAAGCACTATTAACAAATTGATTGGAAACAAACAAATTAAAATAATCGTCAAATATTGGGGTAACCCATCATCATTCTATTTATCCCCCACTAATAGAACCCGCACTTTCGCTATGGATGAAATCGAATGAAATGGAGAGAATAGGCATAATCTGCCACACAAACCTAGTGCAGATTGTTAAGTGTTTATTAACGACTGCAAATACAACCGAGATAACGGCTCAACAAGCACGGAGGAGCTCTAGATAGTAAATCTTTGATCACCCATTCTTCTACGAGTACCTGTTAAATTAAAAATGTTTTTGTTCACTTCCTTCCGCATAATACGCGATAAATCTGTCTCCGTTACTCATTTTTTTTTTCAATAATATATCATCACATATAAATAAATATTAGATAACATCACGTACATTGCTCAGATTCCATTATCATGGAGTATCTGTGACAATAAAGGTGACTCACCGACTGACTCTACAATTACGTTTCCTTTACTAAACTTTATAAGCACTCATTATACGTACCTCATTCAATAACGTTTACAATTCCAGAATTATTAACGTCCAATTATAAAGAGTATCAAGGGTAAGGATACTAAATATAAACTCAACGATTAAATATTAACGCTTCTATTTTAAATTGAATTTATAATACAAGAAAAGAAAGCGTCCGAATTACAAATATTATTATCAAATTAGTCAATTCTGATAGCATTTCGAACTAATCAGATACGAAAAATTTGTCATTAACCGGATTAATTTACCGTTCTCAAAAAATATGATGCACTTTTTTATATTACTATCATGTCAAACAATGCAAACAAACAGGAAAATAACTGTGTCTGTTATAATTTTTCCTATCTTTTTATCGATAAAAGTAATACTCGTATTCTTTCTACTGTGTCGACTTCTTTACATTTGTTTTACCGCAAACGCAGACATTGTTTCCCTTAGAGCAGGCACTTAGAAAAATTACAGAAAATGAAAAAGAGATTTTTATATTGCGCCCGACTTTGATGCTGTTTTTACTGCTCACAGCGTTATTAGAAGGCCTTCTCTTTACGGATATCTAATTTGAATCTGCAATCTTATATCAGACTCTGTTGTTCAAGGTTATTACGCGAGGGAGAAAGTTCAACTAATTTCTCCGATGAAAAGTTCTACACCGCACATCTGTCATTTCTCTTAAAGTTAAAATTACAAATTTAATTAACAATTATCCAATTAAAATATATGCGTTGGATGCTATCACTTATCGTTAGACTTTGGTCGGCAATAAAGTCCTTGTGTGGAAATCGCTTGTCCTTATGTATTCTAACCAATGAAGAGCTTTTTATCGCAAAATTCACAAATGTATCTATCCCAAAATCTAATATTGTATTCGGATGAAATATTTTCTAAATAGTCGTTAAGACAAATCTTTTGTTATTACACGAAACTTCGAAAGCCGGTAAATATTGTTATGTTTTCGTGTATCGAATTTAATTACACACTTGATAGAAGTTTTCTTCAATATTTTAGTAACTAAATCGAATAAATATTTATTTTATCGATGCACACTATTTTAGTTGGTTATCTATATAGAATTTCACAAAGACCTAACAACAATAACCCTTTCTTAGGTAATTACAGGTGGTATTGTTCTCGATGATCGCTATCGCTTATAAGCTACCCTTAAAGTCATACTGATCTAATTCCACAACGGCCAACATTCACGTACTACTAAAACAAAACTCGTGAAATGAACAGGATGAACTAATAAAACGTCGACGATACGCCTCCAGCAAAGTGTGGCCACTTGAACAAATTGTCGGACGAAATGTGGCGGCGATGCGTGATCGCCATTCCAGGTGAGAGTCGACCCGCACGTGACGTAAAGGACAATGGACCGGTGAAATCTTGGCCGATTGGGACTATGCGAATCGTATGTTAGCTTCCGTTTTAGGTCAATCACAAGCATATTGGCCGACTGCAACAGTAATTAGAACCGAAATATTCCCGTCCTCATTCGGTCGCTACGATTCGTATTTGCATATATGTAACAGAAATTACTTGAATTTAAACTTATATATGTGTACAAGATTTTTTTTAATAATGTAATTAAGGTATGGGTGTGGGAATAGGTATATTTCTATACTTTTTATTACAAGCTTTTATTTAGTTTCACATGTCTCAATGTTTGTCTTTTTGTAACCAAATTTTGCAAACTAAATTTTACTTACTTCCCAGTTCCGTTTGAGCTAAAATTTGAAGTATACCTTTTGTTCTGGTGAAAATGAAAAAATATATAACTGGTATTATTATTAATCCAAAATGGCCACCGTAACAAAATGGCGGCATACATAATAAGGAGGCAACAACCCACCCAATACGTGTATCAAATGAAAGAGCTTCAGTTGTAGAATACCTTAACACCAATTTAAAATGAAATTTTAAATGTTTATTTGTCAGTAAATATTTATTAAAATTTGTTCTTGCAAGTTTTGTTTTTTTTTTGATTTTGTTACTTACAACCAGTTACACATACATCCATTAAATTTTTCATTACTTTAAAGCGACATTAACCATACATATATTCCATTCATTAGACCTTAAAGGCGTCAATAAACCTTAATGGGTGTTTGTGCTACTGACCGTTAATGTGTAACAAATAAATTCACGACAAAATATAATGTGATTAACGCCAAAATTAGGTATCTTGAACATGTTATTGATTGAACAATGCAGTTGATGATGCATAATCAAAACTTATCAATATAGATAAGATGGCTAGTGACAAATTAAAAATATATGTATGTATAAAATAATGTGAGCAATGCCTAGTATAAATAAGCGACATTATTTCACCTGTGAACAGACGCATTTTAGCAATAAACATGAAGTGTATACTTTTCCTGTTAGTGGTTGCCATAGCAGCAGCATCAGTACCTGCAGTGGCAGAGAGTGAACTTAAACCTGACGGTAATTACTAATATTACTAATTTTACTTAATATAAAGGAATCCGAGGAGTTATAAAAGAGAGGTGAATTGAAAACCCTGAGTAAACTAAAATTAAAAGCCATAATGAAGTAGGCACCATCCATGCAGTATGCTTGTGATGAGTGATAAGCAGTTGATATGCAAGGATGCCAACTTGCTAACGGTTGTTTTAAATCACCTCTGTTTTAAAACTCCTCGGTCGCACCTAATATTCATTTAATATTTTTCATAATCAAATCCAGTTCAACAGTATTGTGTTAAATTATTTTTTTATTAACTGACCATTTTAATTTGTCAGTGAAATCTTGCAAGGTAAATTTGACCAACTTCCCACTTTTTAATTGAACTGAAATTTTATTATACACATATTTTACTTAGATGAGTATGTAATGTTACTGGAAGGTAGCCATGGGACTTTTGTAATTAAACGAGGTCAACCCAACAAATTTAGGTTCGTTCGATTTGTCTTGACAATGATTTTGGTCCGAAATAATATCTAAAGTCTGTTGATTGAACTGGAAGGTATCCCAGGAACTCTTTTGTAATGCATCCCTGTCAAATTCAGGCTCGTTTAATTTGTCTTTTCGAAATAATATACAACAAAAGCATATTAATTTTTTGTGCAAAGATATAGTAAAAGAAAATTAATTTTACTATATCTTTGCACAAAATATTGACCTTAACTTAGGAAATATACTTATAATCTCTTTGACTATCATATTTCTTTGTTTACCTATTATATTCGAATCAACAGGTTCTATCATGACCCGTGACAGCGGTTGTGATCCATTCGGCTGCAACCAACACTGCATCAGGATGGGTTACGCGCGTGGCGTATGCATCGGTTCTTACTGCCAATGCCGCTCTCGTAAAAGGCGTTCCCTACCACAGTCAGAATTCCAAAACATAGGTAATCAATAAATATTTACAAACGTCTACGCATTATTTTTATAATTCCATAATATATAATTCAATAAACCCTCCGTCTTAATCAGTCTGGCATAATTTTCAAACACAAACTTATCCTACAATCTTTTTTAGAATCAGCATCTTTGAAGAAGCGGTCTTTTCTCGAAGCTGAATATCACATACCAGGTAAATAAAATAATATTAAATTACTATCTTGTAATAGTAAAATCACTAAGCAAACTGGTATGCTTAGTTTAAGAATGTTTGGACTCTTAATAAAAACTTCGTAAGTTATTAGGTATATCATAAGTATTACGAGACTCTAAATAAATGTCGTATAAATTCACTAAAGCATGTCCCAAATTGTTTTAATACAAAAGTGACCAATTTTTCTTTGCCCTAAAACTAGCTTCCATTTCGAAAAATGCCCTAATCGTTTCAGCTGTTCACAAATGACAAGTTTCCAAAAGAACAGAAATTAAATTTTATTAAAAATGATTTATTTAATTATTCTACGAGTATTTCTATATCTTTAAGAAATAGACTTTTCATAATTTATTTTTTGCCTTTTATTAGAACGGAAACGCAAAGGTGAGACCCGGGCTAGTTGTGACCCTTACGGATGCGACGTGTTCTGCAGGAAGATGGGATACAAACGAGGTGTTTGTGTTGGGTACTGTCAATGCCGTACCGTATAAATAATATCGACAGAAATATAAATTAAATTATGAACAACCAAGAAAGGGACAGCAAACATGGCCGATCTGTGATTGGTAATATATTGTGCACTGATTTAATTTAAAGTAGACGTAATTTTTTATCTTGTAAAACTGCGTTTTGAATTCTATGAATAATTATTATAACAGAAGTATTCTTATTATATTACTGTGTAAAGAAGTATAATTATATTTATTATTGTAAGTAAAAAGTACTATTTTTGAATATTGGTATTGTAATATGTTAAAATAAAGTGGCCAAAGAATATAAAATTATATTTAGCTAAATCGATAAAAATAATTTCGTCTAAACTGATATAAAACTTATTATTTTTCATAGACTAAGTACCTCAGACTTGTCATTGTTTTATTTTTTAAATATAAAATATAAACTCTATACTCATTTTTTTTAATAAAAATCACCTCACATACCTACGCTTTTCCTTAATTTTCATGTAAGATATCACTTGGTAAGCACCATAGAGTCATGTATATCGACATAGCTAATAATTCGTAAACTGTTAAAAATTAACGACCAAGCCCTGTCAGAGTAAACGGTCATCTCCCATCGAAGGAACTGCCCAAGACGATATTTAGTTAATAGGAGTCTGACATGACCCCAAAGGTGGCTATATAATATCCAAAGAAGGATTTACTGGCGTCTTTCCCTCTTTAGAAAGGTCTTCCCAAAGTCTAGAACCGAAAATAAATAAAACCGATCTCAACGCTCAGCACCTTTTTGGAATACAAGACGTAATCCCCGTGTCTTGTCTACGTACGCACCATTTTGTTTCAATCTTTTTTTCTTCTGTTATTTTATATTTACCGGAATTTTAAACAGATATATTAGAAAACCAAGTAGGATTGAAACCAATGGTTACAATATCATAATTAATGATCATTATAACTTCTGAAGTAAATGGAACACTTCATGAATAAATTATTCAATGATATCTTATCACTCAGAATGTCGATAATTAAATTAATAAACAAATCATTAAACATATCAAGTTTCTATAGCTGAGTTTACAATGTAAAGAAGCTCTGAAGGTAGACTTTTGGCACAATATTTATTCACTACTAGTTTTTGCCCGCGTCTTTGCCCGCATACAAAAGCGCAAGAAAACAAATATTTATTCATGATATCGTGTAAAAGACCTGAATATAAAGTTTCATAATATATTTTATTTTAGACAATGATGAACTTCCATACAAAATTTAATTCCCTACGAGTATTTCAAGCCTTTTGTCATAAAAAAGTTACCTGTGTCCTATCTCAAGACAACTCGGTTTTGTGGCTTAGACATGAGGGCGTAACAGACATATACACTGACTTACTTTTGCATGTATAATAATGATATGGAATAATTCAACGATTCTGCTTGTTGCTCATCACAACATATAATGAGATGTAACCAGACAGTTACCCAAATAAATAGTTTAAGAATTGCTTGAATGATTTCTCAACTTTTAGCTGTTTCTTTTCGAGTTTAAATTGAAGAGTATTCTATGTAAAGTAATAGAAAAATAGAAAAAGCATTTTAGGTTAATCTATAATAACGTTCGTATAATAAGTTCGTGTAATATAATAAGTCGTAGTAGCTAACTGGGTAAAACATCCATCCAATTAGGCAGCTAGCCCTATAATAGAATAGCGCAATTTGTACGGCTAAACGTCGTTTAGCTGAGTTACGATCCTAATGTTCATCTACAGTGCAGACAGGAGCGGATCGTGAATTTGTGGGGCCCTAGGCTAATGCTACTCAGAGACCTATTAATTATTGCAGTAAGTGTAATTTTGTTAAAAAATTGGATATAATGCTGCTAAAGACGCTACAACAAAAAGCTATATTTGTTTATGTATCATATGTACAGCAATAGCTAAACCTTATAATAACATTTTTTTAATATGCCAATATACAATTGTACAAGACTTACATAATAGCCAATAACTGGTATGCACAACATTTTTCAAAATTATGATAACTATCCCATATGAAAAGAAAACACTCAAAACTTAATCGAAATCTGAAAACTACCAAAATTCTTTGAACTTAGTTTATAGCAAACGCCATCTAGTATGGCAAAACGTAATTAAATTCCTGCTAGATTTTATTTTAAAACTCATACTACTTTCACTAATACCTTCGACAAAACAGTGCGATTTCGGAATATACTTAACGCTATCTAGTATAGCCCAAAATAGTTTGTGTTTTCTTTCGTATACAAAATTATACATATGTATATGATTAAATAATATTTATTAAAAAATATTTATTTATTGTGTTATTAAATGATATTACATCTTAAGATAAATTATATTAACAGTTACATTACAGTTTTATGATAGAGGAAATATCTTTCAACTGGATAATTGATGGAGTTGTGTGAGCAAGCTTTCCTGATACCCTGTGGGAGTGAATTCCAAAGATGTAAAGATGTAAATTAAGTCTAATATTTCAAATGAAGAGGAATCTCGAGAGTGAGATTGGAAGGGGACCGCAAGGAACAACAGGGCGAAAAGAAAAGCATTCCCTTAAGAGAAGGTAGAAAAGAGGAAGGGAAGAGGGTAAAATACAGCCGTAAGATTATTCAAGAGTCATTGTAACTTACAAAGAAAATGTGACATGTGGTCGATATTGAAAATTAATCTAATGCAAACATTCTGCAGATGCTCTAGCGTTATTAATAAACTCCTCCGATAAACCAGTATAACAAATGTCAACGTAGTCAATAATAAAGAGTAAAAGAGTAAAAGAGAGTGTGCCAAGGTAATTTTAGAACTAGTCGGTAGGAAATAACACAGGCGTCTGAATGAGCCACACGCAGCGAAAACCTCCTTTTCGACTGCTTCCACCTGGGGTTTCTGAGAGAACTATTTATCAAACACAACTCCAAGGTCTCTAACGAAATAACGATTAAATAAATGGTCCTTTATGTTACAAATATACACTGATTTCATTTGAATAAACCGAATTTAACTATAAATCTACGCATCTCACTTGTTAATACTTTCATTTTAGGTTTTTATCTCGAATAAAATAGAAAAACTGATTTAACCGAAAAAACCCAGTTAACCGGTTTTTTAAATAAAGAAAACTGAAATTAACTTGTTTCTTAAAATAGAGAAAACCGAGTTAAATCAATTTTTGTAAAAGCCTGGTTTTTGCATGCCTAGTACTTACTTATTATTCTGTGAGGGCAGATATCCAACCTTGTCATAGATTTGGGAATACTAAACATATTAATACTATTATTTATTATTAGCTATTAACAGTTCTCATATCGTTCAAATTCAAACTCATCTCTTTGTTAAAAATATCTTTTCTTGAGTAGGTAATTACTTCTCTCGATTAAAGAGACGAGTGTTTAGTGTAAGAAACTTTACCAACTTGTGTATTTAAAACAAGCGACAAATAATATTAATGTAGTTGATTAGAAAATATAAGTAATTTAAAAATATGTTTCAAAAAAGTTTATTGGTCACCGTTATTATTAAAATATTCGTCCTCGTTCTCATTTTATATATTTTAAGAACTGCAAATAAATATATTTGTATAATAATACTTCAAAACCATTCCGCACTTATGCATAATATTAGCATAAGAATAAAGATAAAACATTCGCTTCGGTACACTGACCTCTTTGCGTTATGAAAAAAAAAAGAGTTGCTCAGAGCCGGCACGCTGCAAACTGGATTCCTGTTTTTCTATCCATTATCGTGTCTGTACTCCACGACCTTTCGCAAACACTTCTATCGGATATTGAGTACTCAATATCCTTATCAGTCCTAACACATTAGAAAGGGAAAAAGCATCCGAACGTTTCGGAGTGGGCCGGGTGAAAAGTAGATGAAATATGAGCGGGATATTATTTGTTTTGACATTATAATTGACGTCAGCGCGTGGGAACGCTCCTGAACAAAAATAATCATTTTCTATTCCAGACACGTTTATTTTCTATATCCAATGACTTTGGGTCGACAGCTAACTTTTACTATGAAAGCTCCAACTAAGTTCTTTGAATATCGGATACTCAGATAACAGAATTCAAATTACGTCAAAATAGCAGTGATAATGATAACTTAAAAAACACGTCGTAGAGGAATGATTAAATATAAAGTATTGAAGAGCATATATTAACGGTCTCGATGATGATTTATAATTAAAATCAATTTGCATTACAATCATCGATATATATGTTTTTTTTAACCAGCGCCTGATTTTTTTATGTTGTATATATTACATTAAATCACGTTCACAATTTTTCGTTCTTTGCATAACCTACTAACATCGCAAATGAAGAGGGAAAAATATAAAACGTTGCAAATTACAACGAGGTTAATGACCGATATTTGTGAATATACCTACAGTTTGTTTACTACTGTTGTGATAAACAGCAACATATTCATCACCAACCTATTAATGTTCCCATTGCTGGGACACAGGTATACCCTATGGAATGGAGTCGAACAGGGAGGATAGGTCACGACTGAATTATACAATTAAAATATGTAAAATGGAAAAATTTACTATCTTTTAAAAATACTACTTTGCATCTTAAACCTTAAGCATTTTATAATTATAATCTCCTTACTGGCATAAATACCGCTTTCTATTTATTTGAATACGGGAATCTCCCTGGCCCGGCCAGTTGTATTACGATACCATAAAAGAGAAGGCAGTATGACGCAGCATCAAAACTTAATTAATTATTCATTATACACGGCCATTCTAGTTACATCGTGCTGTGATGATACACCATAAAAACTCGGCAATGTAAAACATTCTTAGTGATATTTCCTAATTAAGTATTTTACTAAAAAGGAGGACTGTGCAGCTTAGTGTGAGAATTGATTAGTATAAATAAGTGAGAATATTTCTCCGGTGTACAGACGTGTTTTAGCAGTAAACATGAAGTGTACAATTTTCCTGTTAGTGATTGCCATAGCAGCAGTCGTGGCTTTCGATGGAAGTCAAATTAAATCCGATGGTCAGTAACATTTTGTTATTAAATAATTTCCTTAAAAATTTCACACTATCAATATTATTTATCAATTCCTTTTTATTTACATTAAAGAGTTGTAATTGCCAATTTCATATACCTTCATATATGTTATTTATTTTATCAGTTAGTTAGATTCAATATTAGTTTTTGTTATTGTTTTAATAATATACCTACACGAAATCTTGCCTTTTATACTAACGGAGTAAAATCAATGTCTATTCGCCCTTTATTATAGTAGAGACTATACACTCGTTCGTCAATCGCGACACTCGCGGCTGTGACTCCGCCGACTGCACCAAGTTCTGCGTCAAGATTCCGGATTGGTTGTTCCGCGAGATCGATCTATAATTATAATATAAAAAGGAAAGATTTGATGTTTGTTTCTAACCATCGAATAGGCTCCAAACTACTGGACTGATTTTAAAAAGTCTTTCACCTACGGGTACATCATATGCGATGGATATAGTCTATATTTTATACCAACAGCAAATAAAGGGATGAAAATGGAAGTGGAAGTTTGTATACGGAATTTAAACGTTACCATAGTAACCATTGTTTACTTTTCAATGTGTCATTGTCAATCACATTCGTGTCAAGATCCTTAACCTTAGAAATCTTAACCAAATGAAATATTACATTCTAAGCCTGGATTAACATATACGCTACTTTTTATCTCACTAAACAGTTCCCACGCGGGTAAAGCCGCTGGTGGAAAGCTAGTATAGAAATAAAACTTTTCAATATTATCACGGGTGTGAATATGGGTATCATTGTTGTTGTAACAAATTATTGTTTATTTATTTATTTTGTTTTATTTTTTATCTGTGGTAAACATAGTTGATGACAGAATTGTGTATCCATGCTACTTCATTGATTATTTAATCTGTCATTGTTTGTTTATCCTAATAAATAAAAAATAAATTAAATACCGAATATTTAGTTTACTTAAGATGTACAGTCAACAGCACATCAGGTTATACAAATCTGTCAAATTTCTCCACTTTATTTTAAATCTTAAGTTTTGAGGGAAGAGTTTAAAACCATCTGGACAAATTTACCATATTATGGTAATCTGATGCAGCCCCGTGTATTGTTTAAACATTTTCATGTTATTTTGTTAGAACAAGCCTCTGCGAATGCTGTACCTGAACCGAAACACAGCATAGTGGCACGTGATGCACGTCGATGTGGTACCGCAGAATGCAGCGAGCACTGTCGCAAGTTGGGCCATGTGCGTGGTGTCTGTATAGGCACTTTATGCCAATGTCGCTCCTTGAAGAAAAGATCTATTCCCAAGACTGAACTACAATTAACAAGTAAATAAAATATTTCGAAACGTTATTAGATTTGGTATTGTTTTATATTTAAAGTTTTAAATTTAATTCTTTTAGAAAAAAAAAGTATAAATAAATAGAATGCGAACCACTAACATCTGCGACTACGAAGAGAGAATACGAATCTATACCGAATTCATAAATATTACGGGTGAAGCCGCGGGAAAACAGCTACTATATTTATAGATTTTTATATATTGAAAAAATCTACATACGCTATTAATTAACCGGCGTAATTAAAGTAAAGGAACGAAAAATTAATGTTTGTCACTATTTCTACCTACCCCGCAATCGGATGATATGAACTTTTTTTTATATTTTTATATATATATATAAATAGATAATAAATATGTGCAAAATTATTTTAATAACGACTCTTTTGTTTTGACTTTTATAGCTGTCAAAACACTATAGGTATATAAAATAACTATAAAGTCATAAAGATTTAGGAGTCTACAAAATCATTGAACTAATTTGATAACACAAAAATAAATAACATTTAGTAGTACGGAACGTCAAACTGAGTCGCATTTGACCGGTTTTGCATTTCTCTAATAATGCAGGTTTTCTCTATTGATTACGAACGGAATTTATATTTCAATAAAATATTCAAAATACATTATGCAAATTATCTTTTAAACGTGTATTTTTTCTTTTATAAGAACACGAACACAAGATCGTGACTCGGGCTACTTGCGACCCCGCCGACTGCAACGCATTCTGCCAGAAGCTGGGACACAAAAGAGGCGTTTGTGTCGGATACTGTCAATGCCGTGCCATATAAAATTTATCAACAGGCACAAAAAATACATACGACGAAGAAACTAAAACAAACAATAATGAAGGATTGTGATCGTTAAATTTATTGGTGCACTGAAAAACGATAACCTAATGTAAAAGTTCACGCACAACATTTAAATAATAAAATAAACTACCTATCAGCTATCTATAGATGTTGTTTACACAGCATAACATCAGGTTATTACAAAAGACTAATTTTCAACTTCTTTTTCTAATAATTCCTCCAATTGTTGACCGATTTTCAAAAGTTATTTAATTTTAAATATTGATATTTTTTTAAAATTGGATAAGCAAATATTGTGAAATAACTATTTGACATATCTTATATGTGTACATTTTCATTGCAAACAAAACGAGAAAAATAAATTTCTTTATTTAAAAAATGTGTAATTGTAAATCACCGCCAAACATTTTTTTTATTATGGGTATACCTATATTGTTAAATTATTGAATATATTTTTTTTAAACAATTTATTTTATTAAGTCACCTTTATTTAACATTAACAAGCAATAGGGAAATAACATACTTATGTACGTACTTAAAAGATTGCACCTAACAGGAAAATAGTTATCAGATATGTCACCAGGTTAGTGTCATAATTAAAATAAATAAAACACTTCATGGATAAACTATTCAGTGATATCTTATCGGCCACGTATAAACAAATAATGTCACTAATAATAATTACACCTACTTGTGCTTAAACACAAGTTTGTCTAAATGAGTTTGTATTGTACCTTCTGTAAGGAGACCCTTGAAACAATGTTTATTAAACATTGATTACATAGTGAATAGCTATAGGAATAGCATAACAGATTTTACTTCATATCTTTCACTCTCTTGTTATTCATAAGGAATTAATTTGAAATTTGATACACTTAAAGGTGTATGAAATATATTTCTGTAGTTTTAATAATTTCTGACATCATTCTGATATTGCTATTAAAAATACTTACTAATAAGGCTCATTAAAAAGTGTCTGATAAAATACCTAACATATAAGTTGTACTTAAGTGTTCGAGACATTTTGATAAGTGAATTCTATACTAATTATGATTTAGTAAAAGTATATATTGTAATATTATCAACGATATATTATAATTTTTAGTAAGTAGGTGATTATTTTGACTGTTCATTAAATTTTGTTGAGGTTTTGTAAACAGCAAGTGTTTGGAATTTTCTTTATTCAAATAGCAATTTGAATTTAACTCTTTGACAAAATGCAACCGATCTAACCGTGAAATGTGTGGTTAAACTTACTATGTCTTTCATTGATTAGTAACGTTTCGTTGGGAAACATTCTTTATCGAATTTGATCGGAGTATAGGTACACGACGAGTTTGTACTCAGAATGTCAATTTTTTTTTCTTGTTAAATATTAAATAACAGTGTTTATAATTTGGAGCTTGTGGGATCTTAGAATTTTTATTATCGGTGAATCCGAATATATCTACGGCTATGTCATGCCCTCGTGGTCAATGAAACGAACTAGTACGAAATTCCAGAGGGGTCAGTCAGGTCAGGTCGGGGGAGGGGAATGGCAGAAATGTGCTGAATACGATGATGCTCATGCAAATACACGAGTTTCGGATGTTAGCGCATTAAAAATTATATGTATCCAAGAGGGAATAAAAGTCAAATATTTTTATTGTTCAACTAATGGCTCAGTAACACTGGTCGGTGACGTCCGTGTGTAGTTTGCTAGCCATTTCTATCGCTCGCTTTCATTGGTCGATCGTTGCATTATTGACCTACTAGCTTTCGCCAGCGGCTTCGCCCGCGTGGTTCCTAAGGAAATGTTTAGTGAGATAAAAAATAATTTAAATAATTCTGTAGGTATATCCAGAGTAAAGTAAATCTGACCTAACTAACTTCTATTTTTTTTCATTAACAATTTCATGTTTGCTAGTCAATCACGCTGCAACCACTGAACAGATTTTGATAATAATAAATCATACAACATCGATTATGACTATCTTATAATATTGATCTATATACGATGTTGTATGATCTATTATTTGCAGCAAGTACATACAGGTTCCTTGCACTTGACACTCGAGAACATGCCACATAGAGCTGGCCATGGGTAAAGCAGGGAATGCCCAAATGTATGCCGGCCACTTTTAGGGTTTGTCCCTGGGACTTATTGATGGTCATAGCAAATGCCAATTTCAATGGGAACTGCAGCCTTTTGAACTGGAATGGTAAATTGTGGGGTATAATGGGTATGCGGGGAATCAACACGCTCTCGCCTTTAGCTGCTCCCGTAAGTATTGTTGCTCGCAGAATGTTTCTTCCCAATTCGCTGATTTGTAATCTTGTGCCGTTGCACAATCGCGGAGCGTCAAGATTACGCATCAACTGGGACGCCAACCTTCAGCTCCAGCTTGTGGGGCGGTACGCAGGTCAATTCTAATGAGTTGAGAAATTCCACGGGATACGCAGTGCTGTCATCGCTTGCCATCACCGTGTCTATGGACGTGTACACCCTCGATGCGCCATCTACTACATCTAATACCTTGTTGTTTATTTTATTCACTAATTCATTTTTTGGCGACAGTACTGCTTTCTCACACAACCACTCCTCATTATTTAATTTGTTTTTTAAATCGGGAAATACATCGGCGAGTAGTTCTTCCTCGGTAGCACAAAATTCATTGGTGAAAATGATTTTGCCGTCCGGATCGGTTTTCAGCCTACCATCTCCGATCTCGAGCAGCTTACTCGCAAACGCACCTGACTCTGTATCATTGTAAGGTTGTGCACGCATATTCCGAGTAAGGTGGAGTTTTTCTACGTTGGACCAAAGTGACGAAGCCTTGAGACACGCGTTCATTTCATCTGCCGGTGTACCCTTTTCGATAACTGGAAGAGTTTGCCGAAAATCTCCAGTGAGTACAACAACAGCACCTCCCATCAGCGTCTCATTGCTGCGGATGTCCTGCAGGCTCCGGTTCAAAGCCTCAACCACGCGCTTGTGCGACATTGTGCACTCGTCCTACACGATTAATTTACATTGTTGCAAAAGGGCACCGCGGTCGCTGCTTTTGCTAATGTTGCACGTTGGGTTTTCTTGACTTGCAAGATTCAGAGGTAGACCCAAGAAATAAACAAAGAGTTAATTGAGAAGTAGATTTAGAAAGCTAGATACAGATCTTAATATAAATATGTAAAGTTAGAGAATTGCTAAATAGATAGAAAATATAGAAGTTATTTGAGATAAAATCACACAAAATGTCAAGTCAAGTCCGTTAGAATAGCCCAATCGACAAATAGAACCAATTGACAACGCAGAAATCACTTACAACGAAGAGATTATTGAATCGCACCGCAGAGTCACAGTCATCTATATCCAAGTAGTTGCGGTAATTCAACATCGCAATGTAGAATACAGGCAATGCCATCTGTTGGGCTTAATATTACCGATTACATTAAAAATGCTGTTTTATCTTAATACATACATGTACATAAAATAGTGTTTAGAAAATCGGCAATATACGTTGTTTTATTTTCTCAAAAACATCGTATTAAAATCTAAACTACTTATCCAATCTACATAGTGTAAAAGACAATTTTCATGTATATTAAATTTCTTCGACGATAAACATATTTATTTCGATAAGGATTTAATATCACCTACTCAAATAAACGTTTAAAGACGGACGAAAAATTTAAATAGACTTATATAAAGTTCTTTTTATTTTTGTGGCAAAACCCTTGCATATAGATATATGACATCGCGGACTTTTTTATAGATAATTTAAGGCTCTCCAACTTTTCTTTAGAAAGCATTAGTATATCTCATACCGTTTAGGCAGCGTTCACAAAAATAGGCGCCGTTGGAGGTACTTTTATCCCTAGGGAACCTTTCGGTGGGATAAAAAGTATCCTATTATCTAAGTCAGGTAATACTCTATCTGTATACCCAATTTCATCAAAATCCGTTCATTAGTTTCGGCGTGATTGACGTACAAACATCCAAACATCCAAACATCCAAACATCCAAACGCTTGGTTGCCCCCGGGCTGCGAGCAGCCCGGGGAGGTCACGAGTAGCTGGTGGAATCGGGGCAGTGGGGTTTCAAGTCCGCCTATTGTTGTGTCGGGCTTACAGTTTGAAATTGCCTAGAAAAGGTCACTAAGTTCTATCTTCAAATAAAAGGTGTTAAAGGACACAAGCTCCCTTACATCAAAGAAAAAGGGTTGATAGTTTACACGCAGTAGAAAAATAAGTATTCAGTCTAAAAACGCAAGCAAAACTTAACATAAATTTTGTATAGATACTTAAAATAAGTTTTGTCTTTTATTCTCTTATTCTTATTTATTAGTAAATTACTGTATAATGTTAAAAACCAATCGAACATATATTTCCATCAGTGTTACTATCATTTAAATGTCAAGAAATAGTATTTATTTGTATTTGCATCATTACATTACATTATTTATGTAAGATGTATTTGTTATATGAAAAGGGAACCGATGTCGTGACCAGATATTAGAATAGATCAAATTCACGACGCGATGGGGTTTTTAAGTCCGTCTTCGTTTCAGAATAGAAGCTTTCGTTTGGTTGCCCCGGGCTGCGAGCAGCCCGGGGAGGTTACGAGCAGCAAGTGGAATCGGAGCGGTGGGGTTTTAAGTCCGCCTCCGTTGCAGAATTTGAGTATTTCGATTTTTTTGTTATGTTTGTTTTATAGATTGAAATCGCCTACAAAAAGTTAGTAAGTTCTGTCTTCAAACGAAAGGTGTTTAAGCACCATACACATACATATAGGGTTGCCAGTTTACGCTGAACAGAAAAAGAATAATCAGTCGAAAAACGCAAGCAAAACTCTAAATAAATTATAGTCTCTTATTCTTATTCAATAGTAAGTTTATATTTAATATGAAAAAGGATCGAGTAGATATTTCCCCCAGTGTTACCTTAAATAATACACCAAATAAATAAATATCAAATTTCAAACTCATACCTACGTAGAACACTTTCATTTTGAATATTAAAAGAACATGTTTTCTCAATAATCTAAAAGTATAGAAAAATATATTTTAAGTATTAAATATCGTGTCAAAAATTGGATTTTCTTTTCTCCATACTTACCTATATGAAAGTGTAGGTAAAGGTACACAAATATACAAATGGATCATATATACACGCTATAAAGATCATGAAA